CATCAATTCTATTGGTATTTATCCTCTGCAAGAAAAGAGTTTTAGTGTTCATGAATGTTAATTTGAAGATGCGTACTCTTCCATCGCCCATCATCACAGATAGGGCCTTCGATAACTAAATATGTGTCAACTAAAGCTGCAAATTATCCAAGAGTCAATTTGGTGTCAATTAATGGGATCAACTTAATAAGAAAATAACGTCACTGTCTTGGAAATGCCTCATTTGGATTGCCGGCAGCAAACAAAACATCTCCTTTTTAATAACTGCTAATGCTATTTGTGGATAAAACAATCAGTTAAATGCAAAAAGTTCCAGTGCAGATTGTTGTTAACCAAGACAGGACCTACTTTCAGCACAGATAGATGGGATGTCTGATTTGAGGTCAGCTAAACAACACAATAACAACATGCCTGGAAGCAGGGGAGGGAGTAAATACTCCCGCTCCTCCTCTTCCATGTCAAAGCCCTCTCGGCTTTTCATCAACCATCTCTGCCTTCACTTTAGACGTCTCCCCTCCGCTGCCCCTCCTTCCTTCCTCCCTCCCTCTGCTGTAAAAACCTGGCCGTTTTCCCCACCGCTCATCCCTCACGCCCACCCAGGACCTGTCACACTGCTGTTTCCATGACAACACAAACGCAGAGGTAGCAGGGTGAGATGCCCAGCGAGACAAGGCAAAGCGGATGCCAAGAGGAGCGCGATCCATGTCAAGAATACGTTGTAGACCTTACATAGCATGGGATGGATAGAAAACACGATGTAGCAGGATCTGTTACATCTAAGTTTGAGTTACAGCTGTGTGTTTTGTGTGTATGCTTGACCCGTTTTATCAATCAAAGTCCATCTTGGTCAAATATTTGGTGTAACTGTATTGAATTTTAAAATTGTAACAACAGGGAAAATGCCAACTCTGACGTTCTTTAACTGGCAGTACAGTCTTTCTTTAAGAGGAGACTTATGCAAGTATTTGCTCCTGATATTTGCTCCTTAATGAAACGTACAGGCTTGAGCAAGGCCAGTAATTCTTTGCAACAACCATATGAAATCCCTGATTCCTGCCAGCACTGTGTGCTGTGGATGCTGTCACTTGACCCTTCTTATAGAAAAGGAGTCCAGGAGTCCACATTCAAGAGCCAGTGAGAGAAGGAGGGGGTAAGTTGTTGTTCAGGAGCTGACCGCACTAAGAGGCAATGACAGGGATGTCATTTTCCAGCCTGGCTCAAATGAGTCAACTTAATTTTGTTAGCAAAGACAAGTGTATGGAAACAAGGAGCAGTGGAGTTAACTAGTACAATGAACCATGTGTAAGAAGGGATCCATGTCATACTTCAAAAAGACACACATTTACCATCTTTAGCTAGAAAAAGTAGTGACATTTCTTTATCACAGCATACCCTAAAGGCAGATTTGATCAATTTATTAGTATTTTCAAAAAATAGTAACATAGAAAGGCCCAGTCATAAATCAAGGGATGAAACCGATACACATTTTAATCCTTGACATATTTTTGGCCAACTGCTTCAACCCCTAGGTAGAGATGGGACTGATCCGATCTAATATCGATATCGGGTCCGATGTTGAAGTAAGTCACGAATCGGATATCGGACTGACGGCGCCGATCCACGTCCTTGTTCAAGAAATACGGGTGGCACTTTAAACATTCTCAACTCGCACAGTCTCACTTTGACGGAATTCAGAATGAACTATATGAAGCACACAAATCATCTCCACGACGACGTTCAGAGAGAGATGGAACCGCTCCTGCTAAATAACCAAAATACAATTCTTACACTTCCATTTAAAACATTTAATTTGAAAATCTTGACAGTTGTAGCTGCTTCCAGCAATGCAATGCTGGGTTTACTACAGCTTTGTGAAGCCTTACATATAATACCAAAAACAACAATACACTAGTTATGACAATATAAATATCAGAGTCAGTATCCATATCAGTACATGTGTATTGTATAGGATTGTATAGGATATAAAAGATTGATCGGTGCATCTCTACCCTTAGTATGTTCAATGTTTGATCATTGAATACTAAAAGAAGCAACTTGCAATCAGAAATTCTTTGTGTTTTACAAAATACTGCGTCTGAAAAGCACCAAGATTAGTTTCTAAAAATTGTGACTCCATCTGATTCATTATCTCTAGACTAAATTTAAACGCCTAATCGTGTCAGCTCCGAAAAAGTTTTAATTCTCAGACATGAGTTTTAAAAACAGATTTTTTTTTTTTGTTCTAAAAGTGATGTTGATATAAACTGAGCTTTTTGTTACAAGTTCAGGTAAGATAAACTTGATGAAAAAACAATGCAGGCCACAATCACTTATGGAATAATTGTGATTCATGTGTATTGGTTTACCAGTGAATCAATCTGCAAGCGTTTTAGTTTTCACAACACTCACCCACAAAAGTTCAATTACATTTAAAGACATTTTTCACAGGTTAGTTGAGGTAATGGTTATGGTTATTGTTCACTAATGGTAAGGCTGCAGAACAACTTGGACGTCATTAGACTAACAGTGACAGACGTCTATCAAAGACCTGGCAGCTGTGCTACAGAACAAGGGTCAAATGATTACAGTATCTCTCAGGTGATGCAACATAGTAACCTATCACAGGGCAAAAGTCAGTGATTATGAGCGATGAGACACTTCCCTTTAAGAGAAGTGTGTACAGTTAACTTCTAGAATGGCTATTTTTTTTTTTTTTAGCTTAGTCCTTAACTTTCAAAATAAAATCCATATCTAAAATCTGTACATAGATTTTCTCAAAACAAATGAAAAAAATAAATACAGCTTGATTTATATGGAATGATGAAGACACATTCAACATCAGGTAAAGCTGGGCTTTACTTTGCCACACAAACACACACACACACACACACGCCACTACAGCCGTAGTTCACCATGTGTTCAGGCAGAGAGCTACTTCTAAGTAACACCCATTACATTACAAGAGACTACGCCAAGTCAGTGTGAGAAAACCTCCAGCCGATTATCCTTGTATAAACATCCACATACTTGGGACACAAACTTGCGTGAATTCCTGAAATGTCGTCATCATCATCCAACACAGAGGTTCTTCTGCACTGTTACATCGAAATGACAAAACGTATAACACTACATAATGTAGGAATGCATGATTACATCTGTTCACAACTGCATTCCTTGTAACCAGGGGAATACTTTTAACAGATGTCTATGAATCTACTCGATACACTCACGCTCAAATTTAAAGGCAGTTTCAGATTAAGAGGAAATTTCCCTTCATCTTGTCCCATCTTCCAAGGCTGAGCGGCTTCTTCTGCCACTTTCAACGAAAAGAAATTCCTCAAGGAGGGCAAGTTGTGTGTCATTGCAAGTTTTTAAAAAAAGTAAATAACTCCAGGCACGATGCTTTTGAGATGTAACACTGCGAAGGTTGGCAGGAGAAGCACTTTAAAAATAAAATAAAAAAAGTGGTTAACAGACAACACATGCACACAGGCGGAAGGAATAAACACATTATGTTTAAACTCATCAAGTTATACACTCCAGACCTTTTCAATTTGTTGTTAATGAAGAATATGGCTCAGGAGCCAACATTTTTTCCTTGAAACTTCTTAAGAGTTGGCTTTGCATCGGACCACTTGTAGATCTGACTGAAACCCTTCACATCACATCAGCAGCCCACAAAAACCCCCGCAGCTGGACAACATGTCATGTTGAGCCTCCTGTCAGTGATTGTGACTGTGCACCATCAGGTGGGCAGAGTGATGTAACAGAAACCGCTCAACTGGTTCCACAGGATGCATTCCTCCAGCATTACTGACAGAAACGACCGACAATCATTGAAAAAGGCACAAAGTTGTCTGCCTTGTGTAGTCCTGAATAAGTCAAGCAAGGAGACCCATTTAAAAAACAAAATACCCTCAACACCAGGGCACAACAAAAGCAGCATTCCCCCATACTGCATGACATCTTCAGCTTACTCTGCGCTCAATTAGTTCTCCTGCTCTCGCTTCATTATTGTGTTAGGAAATAAATATTGTTAATTTTTTGGAAAGATGTGTCAGAAGAAACTGCACACACGTTCACTCTTTAAATCTTGGGTAGTCTATCTGAGACAACTTCTAAAAAAAAAATGTTGAAGCTACTAGAGGAGATCCATTATAGCCCCACATAATAGCCTGACTGCTAACTAGCATTTCAAACAGAGCACCTCCTCTATGCATAGTACAACTGAGCCAAAACATTAATTCAGCAACAACAACAACAACAAACAACAACAAAAAAAAAACATGAGTGGCCCCTTCCTTCTGAACAAAACGCAGAAATTTCCCTCAACTTACCCAGCGCAGCACATCGAGCAGAGGCATGGTTAACACCACAACAAACCCATTTTTTTTTTTTTTTTTTTTTGTAACAGCCCGCTCAAACACATGGTGGTGAGAACTGTCCTGACTCACTCGTATATTCTGACAACGACGTTCAACCAGCACGGACTAGCCCGCAGCTAAAAAGGTTAGCATGCTAACTACGTCCCTTTGCTGTACTGGCTGAACTTAGTCCGCCGCCCCCCCTCCGCCACCACCACCACCACCACCACCCCGCTCACTCAGCACAAAAACAATCACACATTTAAAAAAAAAAGTATTGTGCACGCCACATTTCACGTCACACGCACAATCGAGCACACCGCTAACACAAACAAATGACATGACAAGACAGTGCAAACGAAACTCGCATTGCAAAAGCTCGCCGCCTGATCCGTCTTAATTGAGTTTGCTGCAGGAGCAACACTGTTGACACAGGCAAGCGGGCTTAGCCAAGGAGCTAACACTTGGCTAATAAAAGCTAGCGCCGAAGCGAGAGCCTGTGCCAGACGAAGACACACACACACACACAAACCGAGATTTTTTTTTTTGAAGCCCTCGCATTGGATCTTGGATTTCACGACGAAAAAACACCGCGTCCGGTCTCAACAAGCAGCACCGACACGTGTGGCTACTTACGATTAAAGGCTTTCGGCTGTGTCCTCGCTGTTAAATTCCGTTTATCGGATGCAGCTCTGACCTTCGCGGTAGTGAAACAACATTTCTGCTGGCTAACTGTGCCGCCATGTTACTCCTGCTGTGCAAACCAATGCTGAGTGTTTATCTGGCTGGTAGCTGCTATCCTCCCCCACACCAAACCACATCACGGGGCTCCGGCGGTATCAACTCAGTTATACGCCGGGTGCTCGTAAAAGCGACACCCACGGCGATTTTACCTGTTTAAGATGACACGGGTGGTGCAACAGAAAAATGTGTCATTTGTTTAATCTGATAAAACAGTGGCTGTTACTTTAAAAACACCACCGTCACCGATGTCAAGAGTTTAAGGCGGTGATTTAAAAAGGTGGGCAAAAGTGTGAACCCTCCTACCAACTTAGGTGTCTCAATGTAGTAAAAAGAAAAATAATATTGTTTAATATTGCTACACCTGTGGGACTGCTGCATACACAATTAATTTACATTTAAGGTCATAAAGATTTATGTCAGCCATTAAAAAAGGTGTATCAAATAAAAATGCTACTTAAACGGGTGTTGTTTAAGTTAAATACCAGTGTAGCCGAGTTATTACACCACAATAATAATAATATTCATAATAATAATAATAATAATAATAATAAAACATTTAAGAGTTGTAATAACAATACTGATTTGAAAACTGTAACGGTATTCATATATCAAACTGTATTGTTGGCTCATGTTTTTTTGTATGGGTGGGATATGTTTGTATATATGTGTTGTGTTGTGTGTTTGTATGTATGCTGGCTGCTGGATCACCTAAATTTCCCTGCTGGGATGAATAAAGTATATCTTATCTTATCTTTATCTTATCTTAATACACACACACACACACACACACGCGTCATTGTATGTGTGTGTGTTTTTAAAGACATGGGCAAAAATATAATAAATATTTACCTACAATCAAAATAAGTATAATGCGCCTGTCCTACTCTTTAGCCACCTTGATTTACCAGGTGGTCAACTATTCACAGATCACACTGGGCAAGCAGGCGTTTTCTTTCAACTAAAACCTACACAACACCGCCACCAAGTGGCCAGCAGCTAAAACAACAACAGTATGGTTTCCATATGTTTTCATTAACCAAAAGAAAAATAGTAAATAGCAGAAAACATTCCACTATTTGTAGGTTGTTAACGCAGTTTGTCCACCATGGCAGGTATTTTGTTCACAGCAGTAAAGCATTTATTGGGCTAAGGACAATTTTCCTCATAAAAACTCTCACTAAATGAAGATGTGGCAAGGAAGGACGTACCAACCAACAAGTGTAATTTCACCCTACTATTAGAAATTGGAGAGTTTCTTGTTGGACAAAAGTAAAATAAAAATGGTTAAAGGATTCCTGTTTCACTCTTTCCTTACAACACTGATTCACACATGGAAACAGAGAGCTGTATACTGTATGAACTGAAAATGTGGTACTTTTGTAATGAAAATTCAAGTGAAATTCAAAATTGACTATTAGTACTGAAAAATGATAAAGCAAAAAGCTCCTCTTCAATAAAATATTGTATTGAATTGTGAACTAGATTACCCCTCAGGGGATGTTGATTTAAGCAATTACTGCTGCTATACTGCCATGACTCACTGCTGTGTAACTTAATGTAGTTCATGGGTTTATTCTTTAGAAAAAGCCGGTGTTTCCTTGGTGATTGATGCTCACGACTGCACCTCATAGCTTTGTAAATTCATTTTATGGCATGTAAGTAAAAGGCAGACATCAACTGTCAATCAATCAGGTTCATTCAGCACAGTCCAAAGTGAGTAGGGAGGAAACAAAGCTTTTTTTTTTCATCATCAGTCCGTGCTTTTACATCAAAATATTCTTGCGGACATTTTTAAGGGAAACAATGATATGCAAGGCCTGAACAAACACAGAAAACTAATTCTACTTGAAAAAGAAACGATGAGGGTTCACACAAGACAGTAAATGAATCAAACAAACAAAAGGGATGATTGTGTCCTTATTAATGGTTATAGGCAGAATGGCACTAGATTGAAATTTCCCTGTGATGAAACTGGTCTTTAGTAATTATAAAAGCTGCTCTGAACTCTAAAAATGAAATGCTACATCAGGTTACAGGGCCGTTTTACAGAACACTAGCCTTTGAATTTACTTAGAGCATTACAGTGTGATGTCTCTTGTTTTCCTGGGTTACTTTGATACATGTTTTTTATCCCATCCATGAGCTGATGCCTTCTTTTTTTTTTTTTACTCTTTGCTTTTTTTCCATTTAGAAAAACATTGCAACAATTTCTTGCAGCATGATTTTTTTTAACAGTCTGGGGTGTGAACCCAGTCATGTCTTAAAGACTGAGATTATGACATGATCTTATGTCACGCATGGGGAAATTAAGAGATGTATGGAAATTCATAAAATCCACATGATGTCTTCAAAAATCACTCAAGAGGCAATGTTGCAAAGAAAAGACTAGCAGGTACAATATCAAGGGGAATTCATGAAAAATAAAACAAGCTGGAATACACAGTGTTTAGGAAAAAAGCATGAATGACCTGACTTGGGAAAATATTAAACACTGATATCATCATTCCTGAAATTCTTAAAATTACACACCCTGTACAAAACAATCCGTATCAATAGGCACTTCTTAAATAAGGTCTTTTTTTTTTTCATAGTTTATTTATGAATTCTTTTGAAATGGCACAGCAATGATTCTTTAATCAAGGCGTGCTGGACGAGTGGCGACAAGTAAAGCTAAATGCATTCTGGGCCTTGTAGTCCAGCTGGGAGGAGGTCCATTAGTCCTGTGTGGGGAGCTTGAAAATGCATATCATGGTGGAGGAGCAGGAGGTGGAGGCAGAGCTGTTGGGTGGATGCAGCCAAGGAGGCATGTGGGGAGTCCAATGTTTGAGGAAAGAGGGTGAGGGGAATAAATGTGTTTAAGACGACTTCTCTTTTCTTGCTCTTGGTGAATCAGCGCCATGAGAGTTTACTCCATTTACGCCGTTGGCTGTAAAAAGGGACACATCTCCATTAGTTTCATTTAATTCCAGTATGATGTGAAGTGTGTGTGCGCATGTCAAGTATTCATTTAAAGTGACAATTTTATCAGCAGAAACACGTGTGTGGATTATTTTCCAACAAAAGTCTCTGTCGGCTATTCTGTTAGCTTTTTGTCTGCTACTTTTTTTTATGTTCATTCGTTTTTTAATCCGGGGAAGTTACAGGATTTGTCAGAGAATCTAATTCATAATCACCTTTGTCTTTCTTTGATTTGCTCTTGGAAGGAACCTGTTTCTTTTTCAAGCTCTGAGCCTGTGCGTGCTCTCTCCACCGGCGCAGCTGGAAGTTGATGAATTTCCACATCATGAAGGCCTGAGTGAAGCAGATGGCAGCCAGGACTGTTATCCTAATGGAGAGGGGAAAACAGTCAGTCAGTCAAAATGATTCCAGAACATGTGACGGGATGCTGCAAAAAAACCCAAAAAGAGACATTTTGATCTCTCTAAAGCCTAAGTCGAAAATACTCTCATCTTCTTTCTTGATCAGTGGACTTCCTGTATGATTGATGAACTCAGAATGCTTAATTAGGCTCGTGCACCTTTATTTTAAGTGACCAAACTGATGTAAATATTTTGTAGTTTTTTAAGAAGGACTTAAGAGTTCATCCTACTAAGCAACTCTTACAACATTACAAATGCATTACAGAGTGGACCTTTACGTAAGTTAGGAATTAAAAGAGTCCGATTCTCATTTCATAACAGAATAAATCCAGTTTAGTTCTTTCAGCAGATTGGACACATTATTGGACGTTGAAGGTGTCCTGATTTTCCCCTCAGACTCTCTTACCGAATGAAAAGAACATTAAAGTTTCCTGCAGCCAAATCAAAGCCTTGATTCTCAGCGTTGGCGAGGCCAAAGCCCACAGTGAGGACAGACAGGGACAGAGTGAGCAGCCGTCCAAGGACAAACAATACCGCCCATATGGTGAAACTGGAAGACAAGAGGGGACAACCATGATGCCACATTCAACAAAAATATGATTTTTCTTTTAGGGCTGATTCTGCACATGAGAACTCACCCCGTCTGTCTGTTCTCATTGCTGAAATAGATGAGGCGGGAAACGTGGAAGAGGAGCTCGACAAAGTAGTGCAACACGAGCAGGACCAGACCCAGGCGGTTCAGACTGAAAGACAGAAGACAGGATTCCCCTTTATTACAACTGACAGGAACAGCACAGTGGGACACTATTCTCCAGAAAGTCTTCTTTTTTCTTTTCTTTCTAAAGTGGCAGTCCTTACTTCAGAATGTAGGCACCGGCGATGTGGACCAGGTAGAGGAATATGTACACAAGCTGGCGTGGAATATCCTCCTAAACAGTAAACAACAAAGAAAGGGAGGTGAAAAATATTTACAGCAGCGTGGCTCTGCATGTAGAATCAAGACAAGGAGAGATATCTCAAACAATGCTGCATAACCAAGGAAGTCAAACAGGAAAAAGCCTCAGGGTGCAAACAGGAGTAACACAATGTAATAATAGTACACACACGCGCACACACACACACACGCACGCATGTTTACCTTCTTTGTCTTTTGGAAATACAGCTCGGGAAGAGAGTGCAACCAGTAGCCCAGTTGACAAATGTAGTAGAACTTCATCTGGAATCTGAGGGATTAACCAAAATAAAAAGTTTGAATGTTCAAAGTTACACTAAAGCGTTTAATAAATGTATAAAACTGAAATGTATGTGAGAAGTTTTTTTTTGAGGAGGGCCACTCGTCAAGCCCCCTCTGGGTTTATTTGGCTCATCCAGCACATTTATTTCAAAATGCACATTTTGTTAATTGACTAATCATTATGTACTTTCTGTTTTTTTCCATTGATCTATTATTGTTTTTTTTTTGTTTTGCTAAGTGCAATAAAATTACAAATTAAAATAAATTAAAAGTAGTTATCAACTTACGGCATCAGTGTGTGAGGATAACCCTCCCACAAGGTGACGGGATTGGACAGGAAGTTTTCCTGAAAGGAAGAAAAAATAAACTTTGAGCAACTGCAACTTTGAGCTCAGAAAGTGTGTGGACAAAATGAACTTAGAACGAGCTGTAGATACGTACAGATAAGAGGATGCTTGCGCCCCAGCCGAAGGAGAATAAGTAGAACGCGCTGAGCTGTCCCGATTCGTTGAACTTGCTATGCTTAGTTTTGGAGAAATGCTTCTTCCTGTTGATTTTCTGCACAGATAAACAGCCGTATGAACAACACAGAACTGTCTGCAGATGTTACAGTGGCTGCACTCTAAAATAGTGTGTGCTTGACTTACATCCAG